TTTTTTTTTTTTTTTTTTTTTTTTTTCTTTTTCTCCTGCTCCTTAGTTCATATAAAATGTGTAGTAAACTGTGTTCTAAAAGCTTTTCTGGTTTGGCGTGTAGGCCTTCTCACTGCTTGTTGACTACCACTATTATAAGAGGTGGACATCATCTGTGCTAAATTTGCTGATATATAACGTCTTAGGAGGTGGTGAAAGTCACTTGTATGGAACAGAAGGGCCACTTTTCTATCTTAGAAATGAATTTAACAACTTGAATGTTAGCTTCGTTCTTGCATTACTTTTCCTGGGAATTTTACCAATTTCAAGGAAAAAGTATATGCCAGATTTGCTCGTGGTCATCTCACCTATTTATATTTGGCTGGGATTCATGTCATTGCAGCCACACAAGGAGGAAAGGTTTGATACTTCTACAACTATATTGTATATCTTTCATCAAATTATTTTTTAAAAGAAAATTATTTTATTTCGTGGCCCTTATAAGTTACTATGTATTGTGTTTAGAAATTCAAAAGATGATTCTATTGAATAAAACTTTTTTCTGCTAGGAACGTCTGGGTTGTTGAAGTTCTGTAAAGATTTGCCCTTGTGCTCTGTTATAAATAGTATTCCCCTGTTTTGAATTTGATTGTATAATTTCTCTAGAATCTATAGAATTTGATGACTTTATCTAGCATTTCTGGTGAACATTCTTTGTTGAAACACACTGATTTTTTAAATTGCTGGTGGCATGTGTAATTGGTGTCTTTCACCTATACTACATCCCTGCTCCAGATTCCTTTATCCAATATATCCTCTTATTGTGTTGCTGCTTCAGCAGTCATCGAGTGTTTTCCAGATTTTTTCAGAGATAGATACAATCCATATGATAATTCTCTACTTGTCGTGGTGAGCATCTACCATCCTCGCCTGAATTTATTAAGATTATGGTTCCTGTATTTAGCTAGTTAATTTTCTTTGCAGATAGCAAAAGTTCTTAGACGAGTGGCATCGTTTTCCATCATCGTTTTTCATTCCTGATTATGTGAATGAAGTACGATGGATTGACGAGGGGTTCCGAGGTCTTCTTCCTTTCCCGTTTAATTCTACCATGGGAGGGACAGCAGCCTCTCCACCATACTTCAACAACAAGAACAAGGCATCAGATGAGCAATATGTATTATCCTCACTTCCTGAAAGCTTTTCACTCTTAATTTAATACATGTTCTTTTATTGATGCCCCTTTGTTTCTGTGGTGATAAATCATGTAATGAACTTTATAGCTCCGAAATCTCGATGCGTGAACTTTCCTTGTCGAGCTTCAACTCGATAGACCGTATGCTTCTCGTGGAAGCGACACGTCAAAGTGGGAGGTAAACATCCGTTTTCCCTCTCCCTGGTACTTTCTAATGTAGGATTTTACTGAGACATTTGAACTTGCAGACTGTTGCAGCATGGCATTACCTAGATAGGGAGTTCTCGCCGCCATTTTATCGATCATTTTTCATTCCGTACCTGTGGCAGAGTCAGAATGCTTTTGGAATGTATAAGCTGCTTAGGAGAATACCAAAATAATTCACAATATCTTAGGAGCCTGGCCTTGCTCAGTCTCTTAACTTTGAATAGGACACTAGCTCATAAGTTATAAGCGAGTTTGCTGAGAATGTTCCATCATGTTCTTCGTCCTTTCCTCGTCCCCTAAATACAGAAAACCCGTCGCTCGGCAATTAATTCTTCGGGTTTTTAAAACCAGCAATATAGGGTAGGAATTTTGAGGTAGATGTTTATTATTGAACTAGTTTAGTCTGTCTAGTTGAGTC